AAAATCTCAAGTGACTTACAAGGAAAAATGACATATAGGATGGTAAGACGCAAATAACGTCTCACATAGTCAAGAATGACTCCTGGACTGCCAAAGGTCACAGTTTTAAATCATCATAGCAAAAGTTATGTAACAAGGTAAAGGTAAGCTTTTGGCGCCAGGTACTCATTTGATATACGAGAATAATCTAGGACTGCTCACTCCGCAGTTCCATCAACGAAATACACCAGTGGCAGCTCTGAACTGGAATTCTCGCACCCTATGGCAGTACGACACACAAAGTTCCTACTGTCTACTAGGCACTGTGATAAAAAAATCTCTGCCCAATTATAAATATAAAATGTTACTAAAATGTTACATTACTGAAGAAGTGCGTTCGAAGATTAAGGTTTCCACCTGCAGGCGATAGAGTGTCGTGATGCTAGCTGGAGGGTACACTGTGTAAGAAAATAAATCATGAAATTAGGAAAAAATATCTAGGTGACAAGCTAACACGGTTTAGTAATATAATATAAGAACACTGTTCCTGTGAGTTCTGGACAGTCGAGAAGACGCAGCCGGGTGTCACGCAAGGTAAAAGCAGAAGGCAAAGGGACATTGAGAAGTGCAGAGCAGACAAAAACACACTCAGAAAACGGTTCAAAGCAGCTACAGGCAGCGAACTGGTGGGGCTGCACGAAGTCTGGTTTGCACTTGAGAGCCAGACACAGTGCCCTCTGTTACGTTTAGTGTTTCTGTAACAACAGAAGGAGAACCAAATGGGAATGAGAGAAATTCTTTAGGGACTCATTCCAGTTTGCCCGAGGTCTGTTCGAGTAACCGAAATCTAGGACTCTGGTGGGCGGTTAAGAGAAGCTCGAGTCACATCTCCGCAAGATGTACTCAGATAAGAAGAGGAATGAGCCTTTCGATGACAACCCAGAGATCACCAGCGGCCTGAAGCGGTCAGAGTTGCCGAAGGCACCATTTAAAATGATGCCTCCCTTTTGGTCTGAGGTCGAAGAAGTTGTGAAAAGAGCTAGCGGCAAGTCCACCCCAGGGCCGAATGGTGTTTCGTACGTCGTCTACAAGCGTATTGAGTCTTTGGTAGCGTAGTTGTAAAAAATCTGCCTATCATGCGAGTGACCCGCATTTGATTCCCCGCTTGGTAATATAAAAAAAATGAGGGACTTTAACTGGGCGGCTGGCACGTTGTGTTGTGGTTTATGGCCAGGCTGTGATATCTACGCCTTTTTTAGGTTTTAGGGTTTACAGCTATCCTGCAATAGCGGCGACGTGATGCTCAGTGTTCATGTAACGGGCAATCTTCGTTCGCCTTTGAAAGGGCCGTTGGCACGTTGTGTTATGGTTTACAGATAGGTTGTGATATTTGACCCAATCTCTTCAGCCTTTGGTAGTATAGTTGTAAGTATTCAACCCTTCACACGGGTGACCGGTGTTCGATTCCCCGCTGGGTGATAATTGTTCTGTTGCCACTTTGTGTTGTGGTTTTCATCTAGGCTTTGATATCTGCACCTTTTGCTCAAAGACATCCGATTTCAGCAAAGTCCCAATTAGCCTCCCCGCGACGCTTCACTCGATCAAAAACTATTATGCGATGACAAACTGGTTACTAAGACGACTTACAGTCCAATTTAGTTTGGGTGGACACGAATGCAAAGCTCAATTAAAAATCGTCCCTTCGGAGAGGGAGGGATGACGGGTGCAGGGTATTTTTCTCCGCTATTTGTTAGTATAGTATACTTTTTACTGTGGGTTCAATCACTGGTTAGGTGATGAATTTTTTTCCCTATGTCGGGGGCAAAATTAAACTAAACAGTCCATGACGACAGCATGCGGCGCTAACTGCTCTCTCTACACCGACCTACACAGACTGTAGTGACAGTTTTTGTTCTTGTGATGGTGGTGGTGGTAGTGGTAGCAATAGCACTGGTACTGGATGGGTGATGTCGTAGCTGTTACACTGGCCACATTTACTTCTCAGTACAAATCGATGCTACCCCTTTTAGTCGGGGTAGACACAGATACCAAGCTAAATTTAGTCACAATATTTCGTCAGATGATGAATTTCTCATCCTTCAGTAAGTATGATATGATTAGTGGGGAGGGGTTACAAAAAAGGGGAGGGGGTTAATGCCAGACACTGTTAACTAAAAGAGATTAAAACATTACTTTACAGTTCTCATTTCTTAACTATTTCTATTTTAATAATTTCGCCAGGTGATGATTTTTTAATCTTTTGGAGAGGGAGATATGAATCGGGGAAAGAGGGTGGGGGGAGGGGGGTGTTATGTTAGACACAGCTAGATGAGAGAGCTTAGAACATTATTTTAGAGTTCTCATTTCTTATTTCTTAACTATTTCTTTCTTAATAATTTCGCAAGGGATGATTTTTCAAACCTTTGGAGAGGGAGATATGACTGGGTCGAGGGCAGAGGAGGGGGATATGACAGACACTGTTAGCTGAGAGCTATTTTCTTTCTTTTACATTTTACTATTCTGGGCCACAGCAACGCGTGGCAGGGTACAGCTAGTTAACAATATAACTCACTCACAAATAATTTAGAATTAGAAAAGGTTCATTTGTGACCTATTCTGATAAACAAGGCACTATTTACTCAGGCTGGAATAGTCTACATTCAACATCAAATCATTTGCAAAGTGTATATATTATGCGGTGAATCACTGGCACAGGGGCGTTTTGCTGGCCCCGTGACAGAGCACCCAAAATAAAAAGAGCGTGTCATGTCCTTTCAAAACCAGCAAAACACATTTATGTGTCTTCGGGTTTAGGAACATCGTCACTCTGTTCACTATTCGGTCAGTGAATAACTTAACATGGAGTGACGGCTTAATTAATCTTCCCCTACATTCTAGTTTCCGGTGATATATTCCACAGTCAAAGAATAGGGTTGCAGATCATCTCATGAACCTCGGATTTAAGTGGGTGAACGCAGCCAAAATCACGAAACAGTTTGTAGAGTAAACTGCACTCAACACAAAAAATGCCGAAATTTCTAGACTTTCTAAACTAATGTTAAACATTTATTTTCAATACACGAATACTGTCGTTCTGCTTATTAAATGTCCTACTGGCATACGCTCAGGGAAAGAGTTTCGAAGGGCTTGCTCTCCAGGATGCAACAACGTGGATCCAACTCCAATGTTACTAACGTCTGAACGTAAAGTGAAAGGTGGTCAGATCAGGAAGCTGTACCATCGGTGATGTCGATGGGGTTCAATGTATATTCTCAGAACGGTCTTTCTCAGTGCCTCAAAGGTGCAGCTATCGAATTAAAATTCTTTATGAATTTCTGGTAGTTTGAGGCCTGTGTGGCTTGCTGGGTTTCTAAATGCGCCTTGGCTCTGTGCTGATGGTTCCTTGTGAAACAGTTTTCTAAGGAAATTCAAATTCTGTCAGGCCAGCTTACACGACTTTGGACAAGCCGTGAGTCCAGTTTCCCGAAGTCTCCGCAGAAGTTATCGCAAAGATTTATTGTGTTTCTTAAATTTATCAGATGCCACCATTATATCATACATAAAGCTGATAATGGAGCGATCTTTCAGAGGACCAAAGAGAAACCTCCTTATTTTGGTGAATATGTAAGCAAAATTGGAAAGCCCGAAAGGCAGAACATTACATTCATAATGAGAATTTTGAAGACTCAAGTTTCAGAAACTTGCGATCTTCTTTCTTAACATAGATTTGATAATAAGCTTTGCACAAGCCAATTTTAGAAGGAAAAAAAAACAACTGACCCTTTTGACCCTAGCAACAACAACAACAACAAAAAAAGACTCTGATCAGGAAGGGTTTCCGTTAAAAAAAAAACCGTCACCTTGTTTATGTCAGAAAATCACACACAGAGCTAAAGTGAAGGCATCCCTAACAATACCACAAGCGCACTGAAAGGGAACTTCGAGGGAGAGATCAACCTTTCTTTAATAAAAAGTCAGTCTCATTTGACACTGATTCCAATTTTAAGAAAATGATATGATAAGAGCTTTGGCGATCGGTTCATCTCTCACCAGCGTCATGTCGAATTCAACTAACGAAGTGCGCCCTTTTTTATTATGTCATAATAGAATGGTTCTCGGACAGAAGTTGTGCGATGGTGTGTTTCTGAAAGAAAGAGAAAGTTACCTCTACATCTTTCCTGGACTCCCTGAAGTGAAAATGATACTCCACTACCGCTGTTTCTCTACCTTCTAACACTTTAGCCGTAGATAGTGCCATGAAGGTCTTTGACTCACTTACCTCTCTCTCTATCTCACTCCCTATCTCTCTCGCTCTCTCTCTCTCTCGTTCTCTCTCTATCTCCCTCTCTCTCTCTCTCTCTCTCTCTCTCTCTCTCTTTCTCTCTCTCTCGTTGTACTTCTTAGATTGGCAAGTGGTCAGATAAAGGTCTTCCAAATATCAACATTGTAGGGGGAAATACCTTTGAAGTATGTGGTACTTCTCGATAGGCGAATAGGGCTGCAAGCACTTATTAATCCCACCTATCTGGTGTTTCTTGCATCAGTCGTTTTAAAAGGGATACCAGTGTCCCATTAAAGCCTAAGTTTTGACCGTTTGCTTGAGGCCGGTATGGAATGATACAGATTTGACGAGATTTTATTTTTGGAACACTCTCTCCAGCACTCTACCTCGAAACTAAAATCCAAATATCTCACAGTATTTGCTGTTGAAATCCAACATGGGTGAATATAATAATCAATACCTCCGCTACACTCTTGGTGTCAATCTTGCGAAGTAGATAGCTTCCGCCTAAGCAGTAGAACGGTCTACAAAAGTCAACACTTAGGCATTCTTCTTCTTGGTAAGAGGAAGTAATCCGACCAGAACAACTGCCACCCTGATTGCAAAATTTTCTATGGGGTGTGAAGGAGTCTTTGCCAGGCGTGAGCGCTTCCATACATCACAACAATAAAGTATTACCATCAGATATCATTGCCATCTGTCCTAGAAAAAATAACGTCATGTCTGTTTTATTGTTTAGGAGACGCAGGAATACAAAGGATGATCGCGAGCAAACTCTACGCAGGTTTCAGAGCTATAAATCTGACAGAACGGAAACTGTGAAATCCAACACAGTGTCTACAATGACAGACACCTGTCATGAAAATTCTTCAGGTATGTAATATAAATCATAGACAATAAAAGTATTCACTAATATTAATTATGCAAGACATTATGGGGGAGACAGTTCTCCAGCCCCCCCCCCCCCCCTTTTTCCCCGGAAAGTGGTTAAGACATACAGGTGTTTATCTCTTGCCTCATTCTTTTTTTTTTTTCGTCTATTAAGCTAGCTGTCACTATTAGGGTTGGTGTTTTTACACCATCTCCAAGAACACCGACATGCATATATTATCATACCATCTCTAATAAAATAGACGCACTGATCTATATCCCCCCAAAACAAACAATAGAAAAAAAATATTGCTTAGGAAAACTATTTTGAATTAAAAAAAAAAAATACAATGTACTCTACATGACAACCATTGTTTTAAAAACACATCTGGATGCGTGTCCTCCGCTGCTAAAGAACACGTTTCAGCATATCTGAAGTTATGTTTGTAATGGCGTTGATGATGTGTTTTTTTCGTACTTCCCAGGACTTTACCTTGTACCCACTCAAGCTTTGGTCGACCTAGGAGCCAAAGTCATTTTTTTTTAAAAAAGAGTCCGGCTACGAACGGATTCTAACCCAAGACCAACGGACCGCAAGCCCATTGCAATTCTTACCAAAAAAAAATAGTACTACAAATAATCATAATAATAATTGATAATAGTAATAATAATCATAATCATAAAAATTAGTTATACGCGCTGTAGGGTAAAATAATATTTAAAAAAAATTGCTTTTTAAAAGAGCATCAATATATAGAGGGTGGGGAGGGGTCTTTTGCTCCCTCAAAAACACTTACTGGATGGCGCCACGTCAAAGCTGGGAGGGCACGAGCGGCCGTGCTTAGATTCCTGAGCTCTCAGACATAAGGTCAGGTATTTTGTGCGGTGTGAATCACTTACCATTGTATGGAAGCCACCAGAACGATCTTTTACTCCTGGCTCATCCGAGGCTTTCATCAAACTCTGGTACTTTAAGGACAGTGGAACAAATTAATTAATTTAGTAATTGAGCCACACATATGTGCTTAGAATCCTAAACTTTATTGTGTTCTGTGAAGATGACTTGTTATCCTCCTTATTATCATTATAATGAGCACCACATACAAAATTTAACCACTGTCTTTATGTGTTTATTACCGTTATCGTGCCTAATGTGTTTTTTCCCCGTTTTTTCACAGTGAGAAATCAATACAACAATCAGTATAGCACCGATAACCACCAGGTCAATGTCGGTGGTGGCTATTACAATTTTGTTCCAAGCATCAGTGAAACCCCAGCTATGTTTAGTGGCCATGATAGCCCTATGACTGAGAACACACAAAAGTACCAGGAACACCTTAACGTGAGATAATCCCTTAAAAACATTCTCTTTATTTCTCACATTAATTCGTCTATTTTGGTATGAAAGGTACTCAAAAAAAGTGGAACACTTTTGTGAAAGTATGTATGAATGCATAAATACATTGAAGGACATATAAATACTAAAATCCATCAAGACATACTTTACTGCAATAAGAATCCATGCCTGATGCTGACTTAATGTTAACCTTTACTGTTAAGGGCTCAGTGTAACCTAAGAGTTGAACAAGATATACCTCAATTTTTTCATGCATAATTATCATCCTTGAGAAGATAATCTTGCCAACTGCAGATCTGGAGGGGAAGAACTGCAAAACTGCAACTGCAGTAAGACATGCAATTACAGTGGACTTTATTTTTCAGTATTGTTTTTGGTTTTTTAAATATATTTTAAAACATCCATTCCATGAATATTAACATTCTGGAATATTAAACACTTGTTACCACAACGACAACACTTCAGTTCATTTTAATATTATAGTACTGTTTTCGTGCAATCGTTATATGTGCCTGTGAGAGATTTATTCGTAGTCACTTTTCTATTGTTAATACATACATTTGAAGTAGATAAACAAAAGAAATATTTTAAATTAATCTCCAGGATGTTCCAGCAAGTAACAACACCGCTTTAGCTGTGAGGCCAGAAAAACTGAAATATGATAAACACACTAATTGTAAGTACCACAATATAAATATGAGTGTTTTATTGTCGGAAAGAATCCTTTACCCCTTTCTAATTCACAGTCATATTATCAACATAATGACAGAATAAATTGTATCCTATTTTGAGTATTTACAACGAAAAATCACATCTATTAAAATCTTCTTCTTCTTCAGCATTCCCACTCTTTGAGGTTAATTGCTGCAGATATCACCGGCCTTCATCTATCTCTTTGGTTTGCCTTCTGTTTCCAGTGCACAGATCTGTCGGGACATTATAACTTAATAATCTTCTTGGTTGGCCTCTCGGTCTACGACAATTCAGTTCTCTTCTGTAACAAATCGTTGAACGTAAACGACATTAAGGCGAGTTTAAGAACTACCTCATTCGGTAAGGACCTGTATGGGCTTCATGTACCATTGGACCGTCATCCGGCTACTGTACGAAATCAAGGAATATATGACAATATTAGAACGTGTTCTGTTAGTTTGAGCAGTAAATAATTAGATGGTAATGTTATAGAGGTCTTCGTGCTAACGGCTGACAGAACAGAGGAAGAAAGCAATGATATTTATAAACAAGAATGTGAAGTTTTAGCACTGAATGAAAGTAGGGACAGAACTGTAGTGCTATGTATTTTAATGCACAGGTTGGACAAAAAAAAAAGGATGAAGAAATTATGTGCAGATATGGTTTTGCGGGAAATAAATGAGAGAGGATAACAAATGTTGAATGGTTCCTGACGTAAACACAATAATAACTAGAAATATTAATATTATTATACAAGATCCTAACAGATTGTGGACCTGGAAAAGACCTAGAAATACTTTTCAGGACCAGACTGATTAAATACTTTTGGGCAGCCTATTTTTAGAAACAGTTTATTGCTAGTTAAAAAAAAAAACAGACCGGATGTATAATGTACTGATGACCATGCGCCATCATTGGGAAAACTAAGCAAATAAAAGTGATAGTGACTACCTCGCACATTTAATGCTGACTGATCTCTTAAACTATGAGTATAGCATCTCAATGGATTTCTCTTTCCGATAAGTGACGACATCTGTTCGTAAGTCAGCATGAATATTCTCTCCCCTCTGTCTTCTTTGCCTATACGTGACGTATTCATATTTATCTCTTTTCTGTGCTCGAAATTTGTCTCTCTGTTGTCTGACCTGCTCTCTATAAACCCCAACTATTCAGTCTATTTGCTGCCATGATGCTAGTATTAGGGGTGATTTCAACAGATATTTAATTTCGCTGTTCTATGAAACTCTTTATTCTCCGCTTTTTGTATCTTTGATGGGTTCACCGATTTATCACAAGACTGTTCTCAAGAGATTGTATTAGGGCTTCGTCTCGTTTTTAGTTGCACTATATGTTTTAGTGCCACATATACATCTAGTTATTCAGTATAAGACATGCTATATATACTCGTTTTGTTGTTACCTTTTATGATTTTGAAATGTAGCATAGAAAATGACCTGCTGGATCTGTTCTTTGTCTTTCCTACTGCTCAGAGTTAGTTTCAAAGAGAGAGAGAGAGAGAGAGAGAGAGAGAGAGAGAGAGAGAGAGAGAGAAAGAGGAGGCAGGGTGAAGACAATTGAAGTTGTAAACTAATGCATTCATCCAAAAGTTTAGCACAATTAGATACGTGCTGCATGCTTAGCTGTCTTGGAATGTTGTGTTACTATATTCTTTTTCTAACTGATTGATGCAGTAATTTGTGAATTTCTCATTATGCAGCTCCTTCTGCCCCCCCCCCTCTCCCCTTTTTGCACTCCCGGTCCAATGTTTAATTAAAACCTCAAACTTTGATACTCTTCTATCCTCGACCGATTTTGTCAAACCTTCATGCATTTCTACTTTACAATAGTGCAAATTCAAACTGATTTGTCTATTCATTAAACAGACAGCCCGTACGAAATCCCAATGGCCTCAACTACAGTGGTACAGACAGTACAACAGCTTAAATCAGAAGAAAGCTCGGGATATGCAAACGATGCTGTGGCTAATCCTTATGATAGCATTGATGACACAACGCCCAACCCGTATGAGAATATAAAAGACATGCAGTCGACATAACACAGACCTGTACATAACAAGAATACAGATATTACTGCTTATTACTGAGCAGAATTATGACTCAATATAATTAATATATTGAAACCTATATATGTTTACCTCTCATAGATTTGTAATATGTGTAGAAGTTAATGGTAATGTAACTTTTCTTTTACAACTTGGTCATCACCTAAATTTGAATGTAAAAAAGTGTTTATGTCACATAATTACACCACAGTCTTCTTTGTTATTTCACTCCTGTATAGCGCTCAGAAATACAGATTTTTTTTAAAGGCGCAGGTTGTGGGGGGGGGGGGGGGGGGGCGGGGGAGGCGGTCTTGTGGGTCAAACAGAATACGCAGTTGGGCATGTGCATATGCTTGAAAAAAATTTTCCAGCAGAGGAGTGAGAGCCCGAGCAACAATCTGGAAATTATTTCAGTGAACTGTGACTAAAAAGCCTAATAAATGGGGGATGGAGGATGGGGAATAAGGTACACACAAAAGATTACAGATTTGCAGTAAACACATCGCTGTGTTCCATATCCTTTATTAATAGACAGGGTTATCGTTCGTTAAGCCAAGACCTTGGCCACAGTTGCTGTCATTTGCACATATGATAGCGGCAACTGATTAAAAAAATGTCCACAATGCTCAAACTGGTAACCGGTGCAAACGTATAGTGAGATGTGACGACTGCAACGAAATTGCAAAGTTTATAAGGACATTTACAAACACTGTATTGTATGCTAGGAAATAAACGCAACCGGCGTGATTTTGAGCACATCGCCCATCCATAGCCAATTTGTCTATACACATAAGGTGCTCTGCGCTGGCTGCTGTAGATGAGGACGGAGCACGACTCACCTCAACTCAGCTCTATATACATTTGGGAACTATTCGCGGAATTCACCTCACCTTGCTCGCACGCCAGATCTCGTGCCTTTTCAGACTGGCTGTCCCATCCTCTTGGCATGTTATGATTTAGCTCTCTTTGTTGTCTATACACAGCGTAATGAAAAGGGACTGGCGTTCTTTCGACGAGGTCGACACACAGAATACTAGTCTCAACTGCGGAGCTTTGTTTTCGCTACTGTCTTTTTAGTGAACGAGTGTTGTTTCTGAAAGGTTTTGTTGCTGTGGAGGGGCCAAAAGCGCGACGATTCGTGAGTATCGAGTCATTGATGTCTTTGCATTTTTACGCTCGTCGGCACCGGCTTTCGTCGGTGGTGGATTTGCTTAAAATATTCAAAACCAGCAATATCTGACCCTAGAATATAAGAAAGCCTTTGGTGCTTTTGTCTGGGTTGGCCGTACTTGACTCCTGTTATAATCACCATCAGCATGTGCCTCGCCAAGGAAAATGGGCCGCATGATATGTGGACAGCAGGAAAACTGTCTGGGCAGTCCTGTTTTGGGGCCTGTTTGCCGAGAGACGAGGGGAGTAAACTGTGTGCGCAAAATTTATCTCGTGTGAAAAAAAAAGAGTTAATACAGCCAGATCTTTGTGAAGCATGCGTACACACGGGCTTTCATTTTGTATTGACGGGTTGTGAGTGTAAACATCTGAGCCACTTGCAGCTGGTGAGGTTGCTTGATATTCACGGGTGACTGCGAACATCCCGAGTACTATCGGAAATGTGAGACCCACGAGTAGCTGGCAGCTGTTGGTAAGAATGCGAGGTATTTGAATCAGTTAGTCAGCTTTAAGTCAGTTTAAGTGTGTGGACGTGTGCACAAAGTGTTTAAGTCCAATGGAATGTCTCGTGTGACAGTTTTAGCAATGATTTATTCTGTTGAACCCGTGTAAACTGTCCGGATGAATGTGGTAGATCATGAGGAACTTCGAAATTCTGTCAGTGTGTTTTCTAGAATGGATTTGTGTCAGCCATGTGTGTAGGGTCGGCACGGTTGTAGCTATGTGGTACGTTGGTTGACGGGGACTTTGTGTTTGTTGACCAACCCAACGTGAAATTGTGATGGGGGCTGGGGGTGGGTGGGTCTGGGGTCCTGGAGGCTGGTTAACGGGATGTTGATTGGTAATACACCAATGAGTAGCTCAGAAAGCAAAAAAAAAAAAGGGGGGGGGTATGGATTCTTTTCATCAAGTGATGCATCTGCCTTGAGTCCTTGAGTGATGGGGTCGTTTAGAGAAATAACGGTCAGAGGATTGTCACTACATATCACATAGGTGTATCTGTGCGATCAGACGTGAGTCGAACGTAGTAGGCACCTTGATCATAGTTTGCTGTAGTGTATTGTCCATGTCTGTTGAGATTGCCACTGTGACAGGAAGTAGACCTGACTGTAAGTCACTGATCATCAATTCATCTTTGTCGCAATGTGTTCTTCCATAATAAAGAAACTAAATGTTAATACATGGCGTGGTGTAGTATCATAGTACTCGTAAACAATGTTATTGATCTCAATAGGACATGTTAAATGTACAGTGGCGGCGCTCTTGTTTGGGTTGACTGTACTTTACACTAGTTATAAGCACGATCAGCATGCGCCGTGCCAAGTAGAGTGAGTGGCATGGTTTGTGAACAAAAGGAATCCACTTTGAAGGCCTGGAGGACTGATATTTATAAACATATACCCTAGATACTTGGCAAGCGTGCGGTAGATCCCCACGAAATCGTACAAGAGCGAAGTGGGGTAAATTCCGTAATTATTACCCAAGTACAAGTATAATGTCATGTTCTAAATGCGTCCCTGTTGTGAAAAGCGTTCTCTGCTTTACATTATGTCCAGCACTGTCGGAAGTCAAAATGAACACACTATGGCCAACAATCATGTATTTGCATTCCATGTGTCAAGGACTGATTGCAGCAGCCAACTGTCAACTGTCATTACTGACTGAATTTACTACTTTTAGGGCGGTGTAGACAGGGCGAGAGGGGGAAATGGGGCTCTTGAGTCTAAGAATGTAGGGCTCCTGCTTATTGC